CCATGGCAACCCACTGCCACAGGGGCTGCAGCCTACGCCGTCGCCAGCGACTCACAGCAGCCCAGCTCCACGTTCAGCATCACTGGCCCTCATATGTGGGATCCGAACCGGGGCCCTCTGGCATCCCAAACCAGTTCCTAACCATCACGCCACTCGGCCGGCCCCCTTGTGTTTTTCATTTCAGTTATTGTATACTTCAAGTCTGCTTGGTTGTTTGCCTTTTTTTTTCTTAGTTTATGTCTTTATTTTGTGTTTCTTTCTTATACTTTTTAATGAAGTTCTCCCTAAGTTCCTCTATTTCACTCAAGTTTAGTGAGCCTCCTTATGACTGTTTATTTGCATTATCAGGCAAATTACCTCCTTTTCCTTAAGGATTTTTTTCTGATTTTTCTTGTTCCTTCATTTGAGAGGTTTTACCTTTTCATTTTCACTTTGTATGTCTGTTTATATGAATTAAATAAAATAGCTCTCAAACAGGCTTGAAAAAGTGGCCTGATGCAAAAACAGGCTGTGCGGGATAAGTGTGGGTGGGAGCCATGTGCGGGACAAGTGTGGGTGGGAGCCAATCAGTGCCTGAGATGCTGCTGGGGTGGGGGTGGGGGTGGGAGGCAGCATGGTGACCTCGCTTACTCCCTTTGTTGTGCCAGGAACACATGCAGCTCCCTTGCAGAGGCCAGAGCCCCTGGTAGAGCCTGCTACCCTGTGGAGGTGGGGGTAATGAACAGCCCCAGCCTTCTGTTCATCTCGTTTGCTGTCAGCTGTTCAGTCCCTAGCTTGTTCCATAGACTGTGTTCTACATATGCGTGTATTGACTTTGTTCCCAGGAGCAGTGAGGGCAGCAGCCCCAACCCCTCCAGCTGCTCTTTAGGGGAAGGCCATTGACATTTTAGCAGCTGGGCTCCAGCAGCCCTGTGTCAGTGAACTCAGGCAGAACTTAAAAGCAAAATGTTTATTGGAGTGTTGTACAAAAAAGTTTAATCAGAAAATGTGTATTACAAATCATGGGAGGAAAAAAAGGACCACACATTTGGCATGCACCTAAAAGTTGCCACCACCTGTCTGGAAGGGAGTCCAGCCGCAGTTCTGGAAGCTGATGCCACTGCCCCGTGTGCACATGTGCTGGTGTGATGTGCCACCTGGAGAAGCATCAGCTGCTCGGCTGTGCCAATGTGGGCAGAACTGCCAGGTCTCTGCATCAGCTTTGACTAGGACCGAGCTATTGTGTTCTAGGTAGGCACCTAGCCCTGGCTCCAAAGGTGGGAGGGCGTCAGGGTAGTCCTTCTCTAGGAGAGGTGCTGGGCTCAGTCACAGAAGCCTCTCCCCCATCATTCTAAGTGGCTTTGAGCTAAGCTTAAGTACATTTGCACTGTTTCCCCGTTTCCCAGGACATTGTCAGCAATGTCACACGATTCTGCCCCATGTTTCCAAATGCTTGATTATTCATGAGCGTCACCAACCTCCAGTCGCCAACTGGGCACCCAGTCCAGCTGCCATTCCCCCAAACTTCCAGGAGCACCCCAGTTGCCGCCCAGGCCCTCACCCCTCCCTTCCTGTCCACAAGCTCAGCCAGGCAGAATGTTTCAGAAATCACAGACCAAAATTCCAAGACAGCTCTGATCCCCAAGGTTCCCAGTGTCAGGATGTCAGTGCCCCACATCTGGAAGCCACTAAGACTCACCTTCCCAGGGCTGTGTCTCACCCTCTCCAGCCTGTGTCACATGGTTCCTGCTAAGGGGGTGGGGACGGCGACAGTCCGCAGCCTCAGGGGCCCTGGAAGCACTCCCGGGAAAGGTCACACATGGGGTACAGGGTGCTGCGTTGCCAAGGTAGGCAAGCCCTCCGGGGGCCCACCAGAACCTTCTGTTAAGTTATTCTGATGCTCCCTCCATGGTTGGGAACACAGGGTGGCTATGGGAAGAACCCAGACCTGCAAAGACCCATAAAGCAAGGGATGCAGGCAGACTTGAGACAAGACAGCTAGCTCACTTGGGTAGTCAGCCAGCACTCTCCTGGCCCTAAGCAATTCCTAAGGAAAGCCAGGCCCCGGGATGCACCCAGGACAGGGCAGGCACGCAGCTCCCGGCCTGCTCGGGTAGCATGTCACCAAGGCTCAGTACTGCGTCTATAGGACTCGAGCTGTGCTTCTGGAAGGAGTTTGCTGTCTGGGGTTCAGAGCTCACCGAAACAGGCCCCAACACGACCCCCCCAAAGGGGTGTCCCCGGGACCCTGGCCTGAGCCCCTGAAGCAGGATCGGCAATCTGAGTACTGACCAATGTAAAAAAATAAATATCCATTAAAAAAATAACTTCTGTGTAGCTAGGTGAGGGGTGTAAATAGCAGACTAATGCAGAGGGGGTCGCTGGGCGGCCAGAGATGGCCTGTGTAATGGGGAGCCACCCTAAAGGGGTCAGCTGGTGGTGGCCTGTCTGAGTAACATCATTTCAGCAAGAGCAGTACAGACAGAAGCGAGGTTAGCAATATATATGCATAAGAATATATATGAGACGGCAGGTGGCGGCACACAGCCCTAGGCACAGGTGGGACGGTCCACTGCCTCACCCTGAAGCCAGTATCCCCAGCAGGAGGGCAGAAAGTGGTTGTTACACATGGACACTGTTCTGAAACCCGAGGTGTTTGCTGCCGAGGTTGTCAAACTTGTCCCCTCACTGGTGACAAATCTTTGATGGGAAGTGTCCCTGTGCCCAGGTTTCCTTCTCTCCTGTCCTGCTGGTCTTGCACCAGAAGCACAAAGGTCAGGTACCAGAAAGGGAACAGAGAAGCCTCCCCACGGTGCCCCGATTCACACAGGCAGACACGCCTGGTCTGCAACCCAATGCCATCAGCGCAAGAGTTGGGAACCTGCGACTCCCACGTGTCCCAACACTGCATTCCGGTTTCCAGTTGGCTGAGCCGCCAAACTTCACAGGGGACACCCCTGACACTGCCAGGCAGGAACCTGGATTCTGAATTTGGTTTTTAAAAGCTTAGTAACACAAACAACTACTGGATCCCTCCACAGTTCCTCTGCCCACCTCCAGGCCCGTGGGGCAGGCCCTCCAGCCTCCAAGCCAAAATCCATCAGCCGTTAGGTTCCCGGGCCTTGAATCTAACCAACAGGGGAACTGTCATTGAAAAAAGTCTGAACAGTGGTGAAGAGGTGGGGGGGTCCATGGAAACCCACTGATAGGACACAGCAACAGAGACCCACCCCCACATTCTGGCAGTTTGCTTAAAAATCCTCTAGAAATGTATCAAGGACTAAAGAAAGCCAATGATATAAAAATAGTTTTCAGTGGCTCTGGGTAAAGAAAGATGTATGAGGAGGCATATTCCATTCACATCATGCGGCAGCCTCGTGAGGTGGTCCTCGGGTCACCCTGGGAGGAAGAAAGGATGGCCGCAGTTAGGTGGGTCCAGGAGGCAGGCGTGTGACCATCTGGCTAGGCAGGTAGCTGGCCGCCCCCACCCCTCTCCAGGGAGGGGCTGGACCGGGCCCAGCACATGAGCCACCTCAGGAAAACCAATCCTCGACAAGATGACAGTCAGTGGCAACAGGCTCAACTGTCCCCATTCCAGACCTGTCTACATCTCCCTTAAACCTGTTCTGAGCTACACATCACCATTTTATGTCTCAGACACCAGGAGTCTCATAACATCTAATACAGTGTGGTCCTGGGCTCTCCATCTGCTCCCCAAAACCCATTATTTAAGTCACGAGTCTCTCAGACAAACAATCATGCTATCAGAGAGCATTCGCTGAGACTCCCGGGGCTATGCCTGTGCCACTTCGAGAGGCAATCAGCTTTCAACACCATACTTTCGGGTCTCCCGGGCCACTACCCCGAGGTCCACACAAGTTAGTACTCAGAGGCAAGGAGAGCTGCTCACGGCTGTCTCTGGGCTGTGGGGCCCAGTGGAGCCAGGGGCCGAGGGGCCTGGGTGGTGCCAAGGAGCGGCCAAGGGCAGCTCTGCCCAGAGCTGTGGCAACCCTCGTGAGCACGGCTTTGGGGGTGCAGCCAGCAGGGCTAATGGATGTGTGCGCATGCATGTGCACACCTGAGTGTGCTCCCGGGGCCCCTACCTGCTGATGGAAAAGATCCTCCTCGCCAAATTCAGCTCCTTCCTCTTCTCCCTCCTCCCCGTTCTCAGCCTCCCGCACCACTGAGGACCGCTTCACTGTTCTGATGGCCACTTCCTGTGTGAAGCAAGAGCCAAGGCCTTCAACTCCCAGGTGTGGGGGCCCAGCCCATGGTGGCAGTCAGCATGCTCCCACAGGGTGTCACCATGCTACAGAGGGCCATCCAGGGACCACTCACTGGCCTGCTGGCCTAGGCTCCAGCCCAGAGCTCCTGCACCAGCCCGTGGGGTGGGCTGGGCTAGGCTGGACAAGGGAGACCCCAAGACTGAGGCAGAGGAACCCCACACCCGAGCCCCAGGACACCTACCTCCCCATCGGCATTGACCAGGATGGTTCGGCAGCTCTCGCCAGTGCCCCAGCTGTTTTGGCTCTTCCACACGAGCGTCGAAGGGGGGCTGGGGGCCACCCCCGCACCAGCTGCCCACACCTGAGGACACAGGAGGACCTCTTCATCAATGCTGGCTCTAGTCCCGGTGGTATATGCCAGCAGCTGGTTCCCTATCACAACCCCCCTTCAATGCCCCAGGAATTTAATCCTTCCAGCCCTACTGCATTCTGCCCAGGGACGACAGTCACCACGGTATAAAAGAAGAGACTGAGGTTCACAGTAGCCAAGGACACTCATCTTGGCAAACGGGCCAAGCTGGGCTCTGAAGCCCGTCAGCTCCTGGGCCCATGTCCACGACTGTTACATCTCTTATCAACACCTGCTGGCCCAGACAGTCTGGACCCAGATAGCCTCCACCATGGGACCCTGGCATGTCACCTAGGCACTCCAAAGGGTTCCAGGGAGGGTGCAATGGGACGACGCTGGCACACAGGTGATCTGTGACAGCAGGCAGCTGTTCCCAGAGCTATGAGCTCAACCACTACCCCAGCCCCAAGTCATGTCCTGCTTCTCAAGCCCCCACTTCATAGCCTGTCACCGGTGTGGTAGCCAATGTGACCTCTGTCCCACTGGTGGCCTTTCTCCCCACTGCCTGTCAGTCCACCAGCCCTTCTGCAGCCACCTACCGTGACGGTCTGGCCAGCGCGCAGCATGTACTTGGGTGTGAACTTGTAAGCAATCTCCTCCCCTTCTAGGACCTGCCTTTTGACCTTCCAGTTCCCCAGAGACTGGTCCTGGAAATGGGACACCGTCTGACACAGTTCTGGAAGACTCACCCCACACCCCCGGCGCCTGGCCCCTCACCTTGTCAGAGCTGTTCTTCAGCTGCACAAACCTGCCCTCCAAATCGACCTCCTCGATGCTGACACTGCCTGAGGCCGAGGCCTGCTGGGCCAGGTGGAAGCTGCTGCCAGTGCTGCTACTGCCGCCACTGCCACTAGAGCCGATGATGGAGCCCATGCCTGGTGGCTCCTCAGCCTCCAGCCGTCTCCGCTTGCTGCGGCCTGAGCGCCCTGCCGTGGCCACACTGCTGCCGCTGCTGCCTGAAGTTGCCCTTGAGATGGTGACCCGCGATGAAGGGCTAGGGGACAGCTTTAGCCTGGGAGGGACATGGGGTGACTGGCAGTGGGAGCCAGGACAGACCCTCTGGACCGCCCCAGGTCCGCCCCCCCCAAGCCTCTGGCCCCCACCTCTCCTCCTCGCCCTCCAGCAGCTTGCGGTAGGCGCTGATCTCCATGTCCAGGGCCAGCTTGACATCCAGCAGCTCCTGGTACTCGGCCAGCTGCTGTTGCATCACGTCCCGCATCTCCGTCATCTCCAGCTCCTTGGCGTCCAGCAGCTTCCGGAACTTGTCACGCTCCCCGGCTATAGCCTCCTCCAGCTCGCGGATCCGGTCCTCAGCTGCACTAGCCTGGGGAGGGGTCCGAGGTCCATGTCAGGAGAAGACAGGGGTCCAACTGCAGGTCAGCCCCACTCAGGGCACACAAGGGACAGGACAGGGCATGGCTGGCTTCTGACCTCCGGGGCTGCATCTACTGCCCTGGGGCAGGAGGAAGGACCCGCAGAGATAGTGGGGCAGGGAGGGGGCTCCCATGCGTCACCTGCTTCTGGAGGCCAGACAGCTGGTAGCTGAGGGACTCAACCCGCACGCGCGCCTCCTTCAGCTCCTCACGGGCAGCGCTGGCGGCCTTGTCGTTCTGGTCAGAGCTCAGCTTGGCATTTTCCAGCTGAGGGGACAGGGCAGGTGAGGGGCCAGGTGTGGGGCAGAGAAGCCGCCACCCGCCATCTGCCCGCCGCCATACCTTGGCCTGGTAGGTCTGTTCCAGCTCCAGGCGGTACAGACGCACTTGCTCGTCGTGCTGGCTGCGCAACTCCTCCAGCGCCTGAGCCATCTTGAAGTCGTACTCCTGCTGTCGGCTGCTGTCCACCTCCACCAGGCGCCGCTCGTGCCGCCGCCGTGTCTCCCGCACCTCCTGGGGACAGAGCACGGTGACCCCGTCCTGGTCACCAGTATCCTCAACCCAAGTGCCAGTTTCAAACGAGGGCTCTAAACTGTGCCAACAGTGAACCTCTGGGGAGTCGCCCTGGTTACTTGTTCACATTTCACAGTCACCAGAGAGAACACAGCCCAAGTGTCTGTCAGCGGGTGACAGACACACACAGCATGTCCCATCCACACACCCATGAAAAGGAGGGAGGCACTGACACTCGCCATTATGTGGATGGACCTTGAACACACGGTGCTCAATGAGAGAAGCCAGACACACAAGGCCACACAGTGTGTGATTCCACTTATGTGAAATGTCCAAACACACACATCCACAGACAGGAAATAGGGGGTGACTGCTAATAGGGACTGGGCTTATTTTGGGTGATTGAATGTTCTGGAATTTAGAGGTGATGGTTGCTCAACTCTGTGAATGTACTAAAAACCACTTTAAATGTTACACTTTGAAAGCTTTTAAGGTATTGGAATGTTTTAATAAAGCTGCTATTTAAGAAAAGAATTCCTGGGGCCAGAATGGCGCATTGGTTAAGAGCTGGCTTGGGACGCCAGCTCTGAGTAGTAGGGCCCCGGTTCGGATCCCACATGAGGGCCAGTGACGCTGCACCCTCTATAGCTAAGGTGGTGAACAACAGCTCGACCTGGAGCTGGGCTACCATTGAGTCTCCAGCAATGGCGTAGGCTGCAGCCCCTGCTGCAGTGGGCTGCCATAAGCTACCGTGTGTGGCCGGCAGCCAGCGTAAGCGGCCAGCAGCTGTTGTGAGCTGCCAAGAGTCGCCAAGAGCTGCCATGAGCGGCCGTCCAGAGGCCGGCGACCGATCTGCCTCAGCCGGGAAGAGTGCAATACCAACATGGGCCAGTGAAGTGACGTCCTCCATAACTAGACTGAAGAACAAAAGGACAGCAATTTGTGTGTTCCCCTTCCCCGATTCCCCAACGCTGTTCCCCTCCCCCAATTCCCCAATAAAATCTTTAACAACAACAAAAAAAAGAATTCCTGACTGAGCCCATCCCAGGTGCCCAGGGGACTGAGACAGAGACCTGGCTGTCAGCACAGCTGTGGGATGAGACAGTGACAGCTGAATAAACCAGCTGATGGACATCCAAATCACACATCCCACGAGTGCAGCCACCCAGACACATGGCAGGCTGGGGGCTCCAGGGGACAAGGCTCCACTCTTACGCTCATGCCACCTCAGAAATCAGTCACTGTTACTGTGTTGTTGGTTTGTAAGAACAATAGGAATGCTCCTCAAGGAAGCCAATCATGCTCAGAGAACTGATGACCCTGCATGAGTCACGACAGCACACCAACCTTCACCATGCCTGTCCAGGCTCTCTTCATGGCCTTCCTCCAGCTCATCACAGCCCACCCTGGGGAACCCCTCCAGGAGTCCTTCCTGGGTGCCCTCCTGCCTCCCCATGCGGGTCTCTTCATGGGTCCTCTGACACATGAGGGTGCTTTCACCGGCCCCTCCTCAGCTGCCCTTCCGGCCTCCTCCCCAGCTCCCCTGGAGACCCTGGCTATCATGGGGCCTGGCTGGAGCCACAGACCACTCTTCAGCTGCATGGCCATCCTCCTTACAGCAGCTCTTCTGGGCAATGACCACATAAACCAGTCCAGCCCCAGGGTTCCATTCTGGGCCATGACAGCACAGTGGGCTGTGTGGTGATGAGGTGGGAGGGCCCTCCTACCAGCCCCCTCCCAGAGGGCACAGGACCACAACTCTACCTGTGGGATCTCAGTCCCTCCCAGCGGCCTGGCCAAGCTAAGGGGTGGAGGCCCAAGGATTAGGAGGTTGGGGGAGGGGAGCGCATGGTCCCCACCTCGCTCTTTGATAGGGAGGGAGTGGAACAGGCTGAATGGTGGCTTCAAAAAGGTATGTCTGTGTCCTAATCCCCAGAACCTGAGTGGGACCTTATTTGGAAAAGGAAACTTTGCAGATGTGGTTGAGTTATTGGTCCCAAGATGAGAGCATTCTGGATTATCCAGGTAGGCCCTAAACTTAGTGATAAGTGTCCATGTTAAGAGACAGAAAAGTGGGCTGGCTGAGTGGCTCAGTTGGTTAAGAGCGCGAGCTCTGAGCAACAGGGTCGCTGGTTTGATTCCCACATGGGCCAGTGAGCTGCACCTGTGCTGAGCTGCCAACAGGTGGCAGGATGGCTCAGCTGGTTAGATCATGTGTTCCTAACAACAAGGTGGCCGGTTCACTCCCGCATGGAATGGTGGGCTATGGCCACCCGCAACTGATTGAACACAGCACCTTGAGCTGAGCTGCCCTGAGCTGCCGACAGGCAGCAGGATGGCGACTGGACTTGGAGCTGAGCTAGCTGCGCCCTCCACAGCTAAGATCGAAGGACAACAACTTGATTTGGAGCTGATCCTTTCCCAATTCCCCAATAAAAATCTTTAAAAAAAAAACGGCAAGCCAATATGTAAACAAATGGGCATTTCATCATTCCAATAAAACTTAAAAAAAATAAATAAAGACAGAAAAGTGATATCAGCCTCAGGGTGGAGTGAGAAAACCCCTCCCTCTCCCCCCTTAAAGTTACAAGTCTGACAACTGCAACTCAACAAAGGACCCTGCTCAGCACACAAACACGTCTGAGATTCGAGCATGGGGACATGTGAAGCTGGTTGAATGGAAAGAGCAGCGGAAGCTGATCGAAGAAGGACAGACGGGGCGCAGACGCGGTCCGGTACTTCCGGCCCACTGACGCATTTGGTAGCAGGTGCAGGATTGGGGCTGCAGCCCTTACACAGTAACCAGGGGTTGGAGGGGCACAAGCCACATTCCGGCCTAAGTGGTGACGCAGCACAGCGGAGTGGCAGCCTAGACTAGAGGCTGCCGTTACCAGCCCCACGGCAAAGAGTGGACTCGCAAACCGCTTCGGACAGCACAGCGCACTGGCAGCCACTGGTTTCAAGGAGGAGGCGCAGGGAGCTCCACCAACCGCCAGCCACTTCTCACCACAGGGGTGAGGCCCTGAGACCGAGGTGACCTGGATACAGAGGGGACGCCTACCACCTCGGGAGTACTGGGCACGTTCCATAACCAAGGGGACACCACCACCCCAAATCCGGGAGGTGGCCGGATGCAGGTGAGAACACAAATTTGCGCTATAGCACCACCTGCTGGAAAGGAGAAATAAGAAGTCTACTTAACCTGCTGAATTGAATTGCTAAGGGCAAAACAGCATCTAAACCGGAGTTCATGGCCTCAAATCCGCAGGCAGAGAAACAAGCCATCTGGTACCCTGAATAACCAAGGGTACCACACTCCCTGACTTCAAACTATACTACAAAGCCACAATATGGTACTAGCAGAAAAACACACAGACCAAGGGGACAGAATCAAGAGCCCAGCAATAAACCCACTCAATATGGGCAACTAATTTTCAACAAAAGAGCTCAAAACATTCAATGGAGAAAGGACAGTCTCTTCAATAAGTGGTGCTGGGAAAACTGGACAGTCACATGTAAAAGAGTGAAACTAGACTGCCATCTGACGCCATACACAAAAATTAACTCAAAGTGGATTAAAGATTTAAGTGTAAGACCTGAAACAATAAAAAAAGAAAATATAGGCATTAAATTTACAGGCCTTGGTCTCAGATGGGTTTTTGTGAACTTAACTCCAAAAGCAAAAGAAAAAAAATAAATGAACGGGACTAGTCAAACTAAAAAGCTTCTGAACAGCCAAAGAAATGATCAACAAAACTAAAGGCCACGAGCTGAATGGGAGAAGACATTTGCAAACATTTCTGATAAGAGGCTAATAGCCAAACTATAGAAAGAACTCACAACTCAACAACAAAATAATCCAATTAAAAATTGGGCAGAGGACCTGAACAGATGATTTTCTTAGGAAGATACCCAGATGGCCAACAGATACATGAAAAGATGCTCAACACCAGTAGCTCTCAGGGAAATAAAACTGAAAACCACAATGAGGTACCACCTCACACCTGCTAGAATGGCTATTATCAATAAGTAACAAGTGTTGGTGAGAATGTGGAGAAAAGGGAACCCTCATGCACCGTTGATGGAAATGTAAATTGGTGCATCCAGGAAAACAATATGGAGGTTCCTCAAAAAAGTAAAAATACAACTACATTATGACCCAGCCATCCCACTTCTGGGTATTTATCTGAAGAAAATGAAAGCACTGATTCAAAAAGACATGCACCCCTATGTTCACTGCAGGTCTATTTACAATAGCCAAGATATGGAAGCAACCTAAATGTCCATCAGTGGATAAAGAAGATGTGGTATATATACAATAGAATAATACTTGGCCATAAAAAAAGAATGAAATCTTGCCATTTGCGACAACATAGATGGACCTAGAGGGTATTGTGATGAGTGAAATAAGTCAGACAGAGAAAGACAAATACCATATAATCTCAACTTATATGCTGCAGAATCTAAAAACAAAGCAAATGAATAAATAAAACAGAAACAGACCTTAGGTACAGAGAACAAGCTGATAGATGCCCAAGGGGAAAGGGTGGGGGAATTGAAAAATAAATTGCAAATCATATATCTGATAAGGGGTTAATATAAGTAACAGATTAGCACTGCTCTATATATTATTCATAAATTGGTAATTCTAGCACACTCGTTTTTAGATGTGGTTTTATCACCTAGATTAAAAAAAAAAAAGACCACTTGAATATTCGTTCCCTTGGTTGGTTTGAATATTGAGGTCTATTTACTACTTTCTGCACATCCAACTGGTTCAACCATGCTCAGGGTCCATGTGTGACACAGAAATGGGTGGAAACACCTGAAGGCCACTTACAAGACTTAGATACTGGCCAGAGAGAGGCCATCACAAAGGGCTTGACTTCCTAAACTCTTCTGGCATGAACCACCGTGGGTGCACATGCACACACACACACGGAACCAGAACCACTAATCCTAAAATTTATATGGAACCGCAAAAGACCCCACATAGCCAAAGAAATTTTGAGAACAAAGCGAGAGGTATCACACACCCTGATAACAAATTACACTACAAGCTACAGTCATCAGCAGTACGATGCTGGCATGAAAACACACAGATCAATGGAACAGAATAGAGCCCAGAGATAAACCCATGCTTATATGGTCAATTAATCTTTGACGAAGGAGGTGAGGACATACAACAGGGTAAATAAAGACAGGCTCTTCATGAGTGGTGCTGGGAAGAGTGGACAGGCACATGCCCACAGCACACCAAGACCCACCTCCTCGAAGACACTCTTGCGGAAGTCCAGCTCCTCCTGCAGGCTCTGACAGCGGTTCTCCAGGTCCACGCGCATCAGCGTCTCCTTCTCCAGCTGCTTTTTAGCCACTGAGTGACCATCCTCTGCCTAGGAGACGCAGGACAACAAGCTGAGGTGATTCTCTGTTTCACCATGTTTGTGGCTCCTCATCCTTAAATACACTATCTCTGACATGGGTTGTCAACTGGGTTAGGGGTTTGCAGGCTGCCGGCATCTGAGCCTCAGGCCGCTCACACCTACACGATGTCCCTCAGCTACCTTGGTCTACGGCACCCGCACATGCCCACCAGCTCAAGGTCTCACGTCTCCAGAGTGGGGGCTGCCCAGGGCCTACCTTGGCCAGCTGGGTCCGAAGCTCAGCCATGTCATTCTCGAGGCTGTGCTTGTCACTGAGGGCAGCAGCCAGCTCAGCCTCACTCCGGTGGAACAGGGACTCCAGGTCCTTCACGCGGCCCTGGGCCACTGTGAGCTCGCCCTCCCTCTTCTTGGAGCTAAAAGTCAAGAGCAGCTGTTAGCCAGGAGGGGGTAAGCAGCTGTGCGCCAGGAAGGGCCAAGGACAAGTTCACTCCTGCCTCTGAGTGGTGGGCCCTTTTGCTCTCGGGGCCTGACCCACCTTAGCTCTCAGGTAAGGGAGACTCGCCTATCAGCACAAAAGGTGACCCTTCTTCAAACCTGCCCCACACCATCAGGACTCTGTTAACTGACAAATACAAGCACTCAAAAAACCCTCAAGGCATGGGTTTTTGTGTCCTTTTCTCAGATTTTTGGACACAGAAAGGATCATTTAGGGGAGAACTGATTTTTTTTAAATTAATGTTTAATTTACTAAAGTTATAAACTAAAACCCTGGTCTCTGAAAAGCTGACTTCCTTTGGAAACTTAAGCTATTTTAAGCAGGCTCTCTTGGTAGTCTAATAGACAGTTATGTCTAATACCAAATATTTAAGATGCCAAATAAATTCTTTAATACATAACTCTTAATAGTGTAAACTTTGGGCTCTTAGACATTTCTGAATATAATTCTAAATCTTCTTGGGGTTAGAAGCTCAACCACATCGCCCCCCAAGGAACTGACTGGACCACACCCAGCAATTGTGGGGATACCCAGGGCTCCCCCTCGGCACTACTGACACTGGGGCCGGGTTGCTCTCTGTGGAGGTGTTTTGGGCACTGTGGAGGTTGAGCAGCATCCCTGGCCCCACCCACTGATGTCAGGAGCATACTGTCATGAGGACTACAAATGTCTCCAGACATCGCCCAATGTCCCCTAGGGGCAGTCACTCTGGGTGAGAACCAATGGGGACACTGAACTGCATCAGCTTGTGTGAGGTGGGGTGGCATCAAGACCAGTGATTTCAGCCTGGACAATGTCATCCTCATGCCAGAGATACATCTGGAAACAGCCCTGCCCTCACCAGGCAGAGATGACAGTGAATATGCTGCCTGCTAATTTGCTGTAAGGACAGATGAAGCGGTGGATGGGGATCAGGCATGTGCCAAGTGGCGGCTGCACCTTTAAGTGGCACAGACCTAGCAGGAGGGGACCCTGGGAATGAGCCAGGCCCAGTCTGTCCAGAAGTGCAAAGGCCCTGGGGTGAGCTGTGCCTGGCAGGTTCAAGATCACCAACAAGGCCAGGATGACAGAGCAGAAGGATCAGGATATGCAGAAAACTTCTAAACAACTTGATCTAATTTTAAGTTCTGCAGAACTACATGGAATGATCCAGAAAGCAGGGGCACTGACAGCGTTCACTGGCTTACGCACCTGTTTCTTAATTTGTCGGGTCTTCTACGCCGCTACCTGAGATTCTGTCATCATGGGGATTTGGTGATAAATTTGTCAGGAAAAGAAAAGCACTGGGGGCCGGCCGAGTGGCGCGATGGTTAAGAACTGGCTTGGGACGCCAGAGGGCCCCAGTTCGGATCCCATATATGAGGGCCAGTGACACTGCCCTCTACAGCTAAGATGCTGAACAACAGCTCAACCTGGAGCTGGGCTGCCCAGAGTCACCGGCGACGGTGACCCTTGCTGCAGTGGGTTGCCATGGGCTACCGTGTGTAGCCGGCAGCCAGCGTAAGCGGCCAGCAGCCGCAGTGAGCAGCCGTCCAGAAGCCGGCGACTGATCTGCCTCACCCGGGAAGAGCACAATGATGGTGCCAACTTGAGCCAGTGAAGCAACGTTCTTCACAACTAGACTAAAGAACAAAAGGACAGCAACTTGTCTGTTCTCCATCCCCCAATTCCCCAATAAAAATCTTTAAAAAAAAAAAAGCACTGGATGTGACCTATTGGGAAATTCACCACATTTGGGGTGACAGCCCACCCACTTCCAGCCCTGGAACGGCTCACAGAGCGGAAACAGGAAGTCAGGCCTCCAAGAGAAGCACCTGCAGATCTGTAAATTGCTCAAGGTGGGAGACTGGAATGGGTGCCCCCCAGGCCCAGTGAGTCCAGGAAACCTCCTTTCTAGAGCGAGGGCCTTAACAATTAAGTCACCAGCCCAGATGTTTACAGTCCCTCCCTTCCCACTGCATTCGACACTCTTTGTTGTCATCCTGTTTTAAATGTGCAGTCCCCACCATGCCCAGAATGAGGCAAGTCTCACTTACAGGCCAAGGGAAATGACTGTTCTGATGGCACAGTTGCCACCCAAAGAAGATGTCACAGAACAGTGGGACCAGCCTAACCAAGCCACAAAAGCCACTAGTGACACACCCCCAGATGCTGGAACATGGCAGCAGCTGAGACATCGATTCACGGAGGACATCGATGTGTCAGGGAGATGCCTGAGAGTCTCGCTTCGCCAAAAGAGCATCATCGTCATTAACCGTATCTACCTTTAGTTTAAATTTAAAAGGTGGAAAAGAAATGCACCAGGTCTGCTGGTGATCTGTTGGGGTGGGGCTGGCAGCTCACGGAGACCTTTATTTTTCTCTTTAAATTATCTTGTCTTTCCTGCTTTCTCAACAGTGAGCATCTATGACTGATGAAAAAAAACACACAACTTCTTCCATGAGTAGCAGGGGCAGAATGTCAACTCTGAACTTCACTTAATAACAGTGTATTAATACAGGCTCATCCAACATAACAATATAGCTCACTCATTAACCAGGGAGGATTTCGGAAACTAAACTTTCCACTCATTTTCCTGTAAACCTAAATCTGCTCAAAAGCTTGTGTGCACACACACAAATCCTATTAATTAAAAAGCCTATTAAAAAAAAAAGATAAAAAGAAGAAAATGCTGCAAATGTGAAGATGGCTGTTGGCTGCTGGGACTAAGAGAGGGTCTCAGAAATTAGGGTCCAGGCCTCGGTCATGGCCAAGCTAAGTAACCAGTCCCCAACTCTATGCCTCAGTTTCCCCCTCTGTAAATGGAGATGACAATCTGGGCCTGCTGGGGTCACTGTGAGGATGAAAAGGATCACACCTTTATTACTTTAAATACTTGATGTGTTTAAATTACTTTATTACTTCTGCTACTATCACCTTCAGCACCACCTTGCTCTCCAAATTTCCAGAGCCCTTTACTCATAAGCAGGCAAAAAAACATGCTTTGCAAATAAAAGCCTCCAGCCTGAAGGTCGCCTGTTCCTGCCTTGGTCTGTTTTCCAGGGTGGGGACCCTGAGAGAAGGCACAGAGGACAGACAGAGCAAGGGTCGGCAACCAGTGGCTCCCAAATCCAGGGCAGAGCAGGGAGGTGGCTGGTCCTTGAGGAGACTGGGCTCTCAATTCCAGGAGAGCGGCTTGGATTCAAAACTCTCCTTGGGCCAAATTATGTTTGGGGGGGGGAGGGAAGGTGGTCGGGAGTAGCTAGAGGGTCACGCCAGAGGCTGCCCCTACCCACCCAGCAGCTAGAGTAGCCCCGGCCTCCAAGAACCCAAACGCATGGTCTGCCTGAGTGGGGGCCCATTAAAACCCAGAGCGGGGCCGGCCGAGTGGTGCAATGGTTAAGAACTGGCTTGGGATGCCAGAGGGCCCCGGTTCGGATCCCACATA